GATATCTTTGTATTATGATTGTGTCTTCATGTGAATCACGGTTGTGTGAAAGCTGATCTCATTACTTGCTGGGAATAAATCTCTCCTTTCTAATATCAGTTTATTAAATAGGAGATGTTGCTGTATAATAATCTGTTTGATCATACTCCTACTCAGCGCTATTAATTAACTTCATTTTTTTAAAACTGGATATGTTGTGCAGGGACTTGCAGCATACCCACCAAATGTCACCCATGCAGAGGTGGTGCCAGCAGCTACATTGGTTTTCTGCAGGCAGAACCGCGCTCTCTACCGCTGCATATTCCCCAACATCTCAGAGCGGAAGCTGGATTCAGTACTGTTACCTGCATGGGATTCATCACCTGAGACATAAAAGAACATTTACATATCAGAGGTAAAGTATTTTAATAGCCATAAGAAAATGACCTAACTTTCTTTGCCTCCATTTTCTAAAGCACCTGAAAGGAAGGCTTGTCATGTCATGTTTAATATATAAACTTGGGACATAATCAATCCTTCACTCTTTGATCATGAGAGCTAGCAAGCAGAGCTGACGATACCCAACATCCAAATTTTAAATATGTATTTATATATTTTCGTACATTTTTATTTGCTGAAACTTGTCTTGTAATAGTCATAATTTTTAAAGATATGAACTCCTGTGAAAAACTTGAAATCGTGATTTAGTGTTCATTGGAGTTAACATTCTCACAGTGATAACTACGAAGATCTCTGTGTTCTGGGATGTAATGAAGAAGGCCACCAACATGCCAGAGGAACGCACTACCTCTGTCTACATGGTCGAAGAGTAAATCAAGAAGGAAAGTAATAAGACTCAGACTGCAAGCTGATGCTGCCTGATTCATTCCGGATTCTTGCTTGGCTTACTCTCAAACCTAGATCATGGAGGCAGTATTTACCCTCCTAAATGTTTGTGGACTTCCAGCTGGAGTGCCTCCCATCACATCCCTGAAGATAGTTCTTGTCGAGATATGGACTGTTGTAGACATGTTAAGCCCATAAGAAACTGACATAAAATGTCTTTCTTGTGTCTGTGTGCATTATAACTCTCAAGATAACTGAAATGTGCAGTGAAATCCCAGTATAACAGCTTTAAAATTGACAGACCTAATTTTCTTTACTGTAAATGTCTAAATGTTGTAATTTCTTGGGAATACCATTCCCACTAAAATTGATTTAAGTGTAACTAGGTCTCTCTCCCTGCTGGAAAACGGGAAATTATAACCAGGCCCCCTGGACTCCAGTGCCACTTCCCCCCCCCCCAAGGAGTGTTTGTTTGTCATGGTTCTGCAGGCCTGTATCAGTAAGGACAGAGTCTAGTGGTGTTGCTGTTAAATTAAGGAAGACTTTCTTTTCGCAGCCGCAAGTCACACTGGACAAACATTAATATCTATGATGCAGAGATATATGTGCTCTGCAAGGACAGTAATATCAGCCTGATGACAGGGGCTATAACAATCTGTCTGAATAATGGTATGAACATATTCATGCCAACCATTTCATTCATCTGTTGATCCAACTACAGGAGCACATTTAGTGAAAAGCAAAACTCAGCATTTCTTTCCCCTGCTTCCCTGAGCTTATATGGCGGCACAGATTTAAACCAGAAAAGCCTTTCGAAGGGACATTTCATGACACGGTAGAATTTTGGTCTCCAGGCTAGAAAGTTGTATTTTATTGTATTACTTGCAATAACAGTATATATACAAACAAAAATCTCAGCTTCTTGTTTTTGTGACATTGTCGCTGTAGTCTCCATGACATCCATCGTGTCAAGCAACTTGTTATAACTCTTTTGAGTTTTAGATGTGGAAATAGTTCAGGCCTCATGCAACTAGGAAATGTACATATTTCTGATTGTACTGTATGTGATTGCAGGTCCTTGACATATTTGGGACAGATGGCTGTAAACAGATGATTAATCCAGGACTGGGAAATCTACAAAGCCTTCTGACTGCAAATGCACAGCTGGCCCCAGAAGCAGCGTCACCATCAGGCAGGAGGGCAAATAAGAGGCCCCATTTTTCTGTGTTCACCACTATGAAGACGTGCGGTGGAAAAAGAAGACGCATGTCTGCTGCTCAAGAAGTCGAGACCATGCTGCTTGATGGTTTTGCTGCAGATGAAATTGATGAGGCTTCCTTTATTTTCAAATGTAATGACACTGCATTTTGATCAATGGACATACTTTAAATGTATTATTTATCGCATTATTTCTTTAATTTGCAATTACTATTTTTTTTTTAAATTGTTGCGGACTGGATATCAAAATACTTGCATCCATTGGAAGACATCATGAAAAAATTAAGCCTCTATTTTCTGGTGTTAAATTAGGCATAATCTTGTATAGTTTTAATGATAAGTTCATCCTCCTGATTAATTGTAAGCATTTAATAAGCAGGAACAGCCAGATGCAGGCAGCTGTCTGGCCTTTCCACTCCAGTCTGTGTGTGTCAAGTCCAGGGAAGAGAACAGTCAACTTTATTTTATGACTATTTTAATTAACTACCAATGGAGTTTCGTAGTTAATTAAAATAGTCATAAAATAAAGTTAACCGTGGAAACCAAATGATTCAAAATAAGCAGAGCTTGAGATATATTTCAAGCTTTCTCATTATTCTAATCCTCTTAACATCATCCTTAAAATAACACAGTTCTAAATCTGAAGGCATGAATTGTGGCAAAACTGTTGCAAATTATAAAACAGCTTATATTTGAAATCTTAAGATTGACAGCTTCAACATAACTAACAAACAGACAGCAACCCTTAAAAGTACAGCAGTTACTATATGTAACACGTGGTTCAATATTAACTAAACTGCATTTCATTTCATATGATTCTCAGAGTGTAATTACTTCCTGAGACGTCTTTGTAGCACAGGCATACTGGTTTTCCTAAGGGAGGAACTGAATTTTCAAAAATTACCCCACATCCGCAATGATACTGATCAAAAATTTCTCAATCAGATATCAGTATACAGTAACTTGTTATTGCAAAAGGCCATGGTAGAGCAAATGAACAGTTGCCATTTAGATAAAATACTAACGTGTGGATGTAACCTTTGTACTTTTATACACTCTTGGTGACAGTTTCATAACACCACGTATGTACATGCGCTTGCGGCTGTGAATAGGTTAATTTCAGGCTTCAAAGCGTTAATGTCTGAGAGTGTAGGCAATTGTCTGTTACATACAATTGGTTATCACATTCTGACAAGTGACATCTGAACATGTAAACATAACAGAATGGAAGAAGACTAGTAAAGAAATTATTGTAAACATCTATAAATATATCAAAAATGCCAAAGTACATCTCTAAGTTAGCGCAGTATGCTTATCATTCTCGCAACTTCATTTGTTCTTTTTATGAAGAATTTTCTTCAGGTTTTTTGACATGAAGTATGGTTTCTCTGCTGTGCTGTCATTTCTCTCTCAGTCTTCCACTGCAAAAGAAAGTAATTTCATTCTTATTCCAATAAAATTTATGGAGATAAGTTAGAGTCAGATGGTCCTGATTCAATTCTAAACACTCCACAGTATGCAGCAACCTTCTACACTTTTGGGGGGTCCTTGGCTCAAATCTTGACCAGGACACTGGCTACACTGAGGATTTCATAGTCTTCCTTAGTCGCACGAGACAAACGATGGAATAGTGCCTCTGTAAGGTCACAACTACTTCCTTCCTAATCATCAGTCACCCACCTTTCTACCATCTGATGCTATACCGTGTGATATAGAAAGCATCATAAAATAGCCATGAAAGAATATCTTATAGTGTCATTCATAACTGCAGGAGTGAACAAAACTATACTGTCACATGTTGGGGTGACTTAAGATGGGGTTTGGATTGGATGATTGGATTTATTGCACCTCATACGTCCACACAGTTCAGCGTTACAGGTAACAGAGCTATTGTTATTCTACACACTTTCCAGTTCACTGTTGCACACACATTAGGGTCCTCAGTCCTCATTAGTCATATTCTGGCAACAGATTCTTCACAGTTTGACTGTAACTTCGAACTGCACATGGAGTCTCTTATTCACCACCTCATTCAAATGCACAACATGAGGCTGCAGTCCCCAAGTTTTACCAAACATCCCCCTGCATGTCCAAAAAGCCTGATAGGCTTTGTTAATGATTTTGTCCAGCTGCTTTTTCCATGTCAGTCCCTTGTCTAATATTAGACCAAGGTACTTGACATCGCTAGAGAGCTGGATTATCTTGTTGAAGACAATCGGTTCCTTAAGACCCTTTACTTTTCTCTCCCTAGTAAATGGTATGATTACCATCTTGTTGGGATTGATAGAAAGACGTGCTCTTTCACACCATCGTTGGACCATGTACAGAGCTGTTTGAAGATGCTCTGATACGGTCGAAAGGGATTTTCCATTTATGAGGATTGCTATGTCATCAGCATATCCTACTGTATAATACCCATTATCATTAAGTCCCCAAAGGAGATCATCAACGACCAGGCCCCCCTGCAGGCAACCCCTAGACGCGGATGCCCCCAGGGTTTCTCCTGATAATGTAGCATCTATGGTTCTGCTTTCCAGCATAGCACTGATCCACCTGCATATTGCAGGATCTATGCCATGCCTTCCAGCAGCCTGTTTGATTATATCAAATGAGGTTCTATTGAAAGCTCCCTCTATGTCCCTCTATGTCTATGTCTATGCGGGTTTCGGTGTAGAGGATATGTCCTCAACGCCCCATCCCTGATATGCCTATCCACTATTTTCTCCATCATTTTCAACAAGAAAGAAGACAGGCTCATAGGATGATAAGCCTTAGCCTCGGTATAATCAAGTTTCCCGGGCTTTGGGATGTCACATTAACTTGCCTCCACGCTGTGGGGATGAAACCATATGCCATGCAGGCTCTATATATGTGGCATACGTGTGGAACTAAAAGTTCTGCTCCATGCTGCAAAAGTGCCGGTACAATTCCATCTGTCCTCATGAGTCTGGCACCGCCTGGTACATCACTGATCTCCTGGCACTGCCTCCTCCACGAGGATCGCTTGGCTTTCCTTATTTCTTTGTTGTTACAGGTAAGAGCTTCCTTGTAGGTGTCCCACTGTCCTGTTCTTTTAGCTGTATTAAACAGCCTTCTCGTTTTGGTTCTAAGCCCACTCAGCGGTTTACTCCACCAAGGCGCTCTCCTTGGTCCGCGAGTGGTCTTAGCCGGACAATTCTGATTAATGGACGAGATAATAGCCCGTTGCAACAGGTCAACGGACCGATCAACATTCTTTACTGTGCGTATATTTTGCAAGACGGTCTCTAGCTTTACCTTTATGTCGTCTTTGTAGGACTCCCAATTGGTTCTCTTAGGATTCCTATAAGTAGCTTGATCTACTGTAATGTTGCTTAGTTAAAAGCATATATATCTGTGATCCGATAGGGATGGCTCATCAGATACATGCCAATTACTTACCAGGTTTCCTATGTCATTTGTCCCTAGTGTCAAATCAATAACCTCCTTCCTATTGCAAAACCACAAAGGTAGGTTCGTTACCATGATTTAGAATATTCAGGTTCGAACTCACCAGAGATTCCATAAGGCTCTCTCCCCTTGGGTTAGTGCCGGTGCTCCCCCACAAGATGTGGTGCGCCTTGGCATCACGCCCAATGATGAGTTGCCTTTTCCTGCTACAGCAGTAGTCTATGATGTCCCTGATTTCCTTAGTTGGTGGTGGTTCATCCAAGTCATACGGAAGGTAGACTGAATCAATAATCAGCTCCCTGCTGCCTCCTCAATACGGGTATGTTAGCCTTACCGTTGTTGCATCCATAGAACAGAGCTCCAGCAAAGGCAAGGCATTAACATAATTCCTGATATAAACACAAGATCTTGCATTATTACTGGGCACAGCAGAGTAAACTGTTCCCCCTGTGTTAGTTAAGCCCCTTATTTGACCCTTGTATAACCAAGGTTCCTGAATAAGTGCTATATCTGCCTTACCCTCAGCCAGTTGTTGGTACAGAGCTGCTGTGGTGTAGGTTGATTTGAAGAATTTCATGATCTCTTCAAATTGGGGAGGGGTCAATTTCCATCTTACGTCCCTCTCCATCCTCGGACTGGGTTCCGTGTGAACGGGTCCCCTGATCCGCCTTGCTTTGGTCATCCGGGGGGCTGGGTATCTCACCCCCTTCCTCCTTAGAGACCGCGTTAGAAGATACTGTATCTGTCGCAGGTTCTACCCGGTGTTGAACTTCAGGATGATCCAGCACCTTAACAGTCCCCTATGAGAGTCCTGCAAATATTTTGTAACTGGTGCTCTGTATAATAGTATGGGAGTCCCGGTCTATGAATAAGATGAGCCTTTGGCCTTTCGACTCAGACTGCTTATCGAGTACCCTCCAGTTCTCAGTATGAAGTCCTAGATTGAGGTCTGCAATCAATTTCAGCAACTTTTCCTGATTCTGGGAAATTTTGTCCCTAGTCTGGAGAGCCACTTTAACAGGCTTGAGCAGGTTCCTGGCATCAGTAGCCTTCAGCCTGGCCCCTTATTCCAGCCTGTGGTTGTCAATGGCTTTGGTGAGCCATTGACCAGACTGTGGTCAGCACATACATAAATAAGTGCACATCCCACTAGTCTGTAGGATTTCAGGTGTGGTAGTTCTCCCTTTGGAGTCATCTTCGGTAAGCTCATCCTCAGGATGTGTCCTTGAAGATAGCTACCTTTATATTGATCAGAGCCTCCTTGTAAGTCCCTGGGCCTTTTCGGAGTTCTGGCCGTTTCTGTAGGGGTACTGCCCTCCGACCTTGGCCTCTTAAAGGTGCTGGGGGGGGATTTCTTCCTGCTTGGACAAGCTTTCATTTCCTGGTTGCTTACTGCTCCCAGTTCCTGCTTTGCTTGCCTCAGCTCTTGCCTTTTTCAACTTCCGTCTAGCAAATCCAAACAAGGCTTTCTTCGCCAGACGGGGTCCACCTACTCCAGAGACTAGGTGTCCCAGTCCTTCTCCTGCTGCAGGTGTGTTAGAAGTACTAGCTCCCTGCAGTGGTGTGTCAGTACTACTGACCCTCAGGAGAGTAGTTTTTGGTTTTACCTCTGGCAGGTTTTGAACCACTGGTTCATCCTTGCCTTTGGCTGAAATTTCAACAGCAGGTTAGCTGGTTGCAACTGGGCCCCTTAGTGGTTCACCAGAGCTTCCAACCCCCTGCTGAAGCATTTCTCATAGGGATCCCCTTGGAGGAGGGTCCTCTTCAGTTCCAGGTCTTTATGACTGGTTTTTAATTTGGTTCCTTTATTCATATCAGTCCCACAAGTTATGGGGATTTAAAAGGTCACCACCTGCAATGCCCCATATGGGTGGAAGACATAAATACAATGGGTGCTGCCTGGTGCCCTGAGGGGATCATTCAAGACACTGGCTAATTACCACCCCAGTGCCATGCAGCCCTCAGCATGATGCCTCACACCTTGGCTTATGTGGTTTGGTCGTGTAGTAAATGCAACCCTCACAAGCCTCCAGGACCAAGAGTGCATGTTCAGGGCGAGAGGGGTATCCCAGATGATAAATGGGAGTGGGTACCAGTTAGTCATGAGGTTGCGACCAGGGCATCCTACACGAGATTATCACCTCTGGGGGTTGCTTCTGAGCTCCCCCATTCCCACCCCTTCACGTGGGTTGGTCAAACCATTTTAGAGTGTTGAGCCCTAAGGCTTGCGACACCTTATCAGTACTCTAGGGAGACAACTCAAATAGCCATAGCTACCCCCATAGGAGTGCTCTCCCGCGTTCGACCCGGGTACACCGTAGTGACATCCAAGAGCCATTATGCCACCGCGCGGGAAGCTCTGGTCATATAGCCATCGGCTTTATGGAAACTCAGCCCTGGAAGGTCATGCTGATCCATACACCCAAGACTGTTGTTGCCCGGCAGGAGAACAAGGAGGCGTTCCAAAGCTGTGTCCCCACCAAAGACACAGCCGTGGCTCGGCCAACCTCACCGAGGATGACGTCATTACCACCCCGCCGACCTAGATGTATATTAGGTGTTATTAAAGTTGATTGTAAATAAATACTGTATTTACCACCATCATTTATGGACATTCTTCACTCAGAATGTTGTATCTGAAAGTTGTGGTGCATAAAATATGCAAATACTGCTCTTCAGAATATTATTCCATGTATTATATTGAGGCAATTACAATGTGAATGCAGTGTGGCAATACGGTATGAATATTCATGCCTATGAATTCCCCTATGCTATTCCTTGATGAACACTAAGATAAAAATGCTCCTTGATAATATTTTTATCAATATGTACTTTTCATGGAAAGCGTGATTAATGTTCCCTATACCAGGTCACAGCGTATTTCTAAAGTTAAATGCACTATCTGCAAATATTGTGGCATATTTGCTTAAGGCAGAATTGTGACACCAGCAGAAACAGCTGTTGCTAAGGAACGGCCCTGCAAACAACGGCC